CTTATGTCGAACATATGGCAAGTCGCGGCGGATCGTTCGTAAGTCACCGCTGTTTGATTCGTCATCGTGATGCTGGGCTTCGAAATTTCTACACGCCGGGGTCCCACGGCACATACGCCGTGTGCTCATAATTTTACGAGACATCATACACGGCAATTAGAGTTTATATGAAAATTGCAATAATTTTAGCTAAAAAAAAAGTCGAGTAAGCGTGAATCGGTTTTTTTTTACCGATAAGACGCAGTTATGCCCAGGAAAGTTTAAATCAGGGATCTATAATACGATACGGATACAGTCACGTTTAATTTCCACTTGAACGAGTAATGCGATGAATTAATAAAAGCGACATTTCCTGCTTTTCCACGTTACCACGTCGCTTTAAATGGTTCACGTGGCGTCGTGAAAGCAGTTCGAACGATTGCGCAATCGGGTACACGCGGTGCAAATAATAAAGACGACCGGCCGCACGCGATTGTTCACAGCGGTGAAAGTTACAGAGAAAGTCCGTAATACGTGACGAAACAGCGCGCGCGACCGGACGTAATGCGAAACGGCACATTTATTTTCGAGCAACACTTTCGATCTGCGACGAGGGAGGGGAGAAAATGAGGTGAGGCGAAAAGAAAAAAAAGGAATCTCGCGGGGGCCCATTACGCCGCAATCACGGACATGACGAACGGGCGCGTTTCGACGTGACCGAGCTTTCGGCAATATTCTTAATTTGAACCAAATCCGAAAGATCAATACAATCAATGCGGGCTTCTTTTTAATTTTTAAAAAATTGTATTTAAAAAGCCCGCACCGAGACGCGCGAGCATAATCGGGAGACGATTTTCACGCGGCGGAGAAATTCGGAATTCGATTGAATCGCGTCCCTCGCGCGAGGATATCGAACTTAACTTCTGCCTCGCGTACTTCGACGACGCAGAGTTTCGCATTGCGATTCCACGGACTTGTAAAATCGATAGGAGACCGATATGTTTCCTATGTAATAAATTCAGACGATTTGAGAACGGTGACGTTTCTCGACAGGGAGCCACGGGTCCCGGAGCAATTTTCCGCGATTGGTCGGCGCGATCGGGAGGAGAGGAAGCGAATCCGGCGCTCGAATGCACCGACGCGACGCACTCGTGAGCAAACAAAGTCGGCGACGTTAGACGGGATGCGCCTTGTGCATATACATATACCACGTCGACGCGGAGGGCCCGTATTCTCTCCCCCCCCCCTTCTCTCTTTCTCTCTCGATGCGGCTTGGTAGCATCTGCCGGCATTTCATTCGCTGTAGTTTGCGCTTCCCAGGCTCCCGTGGATGCACCTGGTCCTTACTGGTGCCGGTGCATTCGTCGCCTCTCCCTCGCGCTCCTTCCCGCCGCCCTTTTCGGTACTCGCCTCACGAATCCGCGCCACATGGACATGCTCCCGTGAACTTGAATAGGTCCGATGGATACGGCCCTGGAGATCGGTTCAATAGCAGAGCACCCCGCCGTAGGTGCTTTGCTCGCCGTCCCGAAGATTTATCTGCGTTCCGAGGCCCGTACACACAAGAATCGACGTTGCGTTTCGTCGGTGGGACGGCGCTCGTGAAAGATACGCTGCGAGATCGATAAACTGCTGTTTAGCCGTCGCGGGATATCGATAGACGCTTCGCACTGATCGTTGTGATTGTTCGACGATAAAATTCAGAAACGTGAAATAAGTCGCACAATGGCATAATTCATGAAATAAAGGCGAGACTGTCACCGTAGAATAAATGATTCCGTTCATACTACATAACACGAATGTACTATTTAATTCTGGGAATTAAAATATTTAAATTGAGAAAGACTTTATACACGTTTTGCATACACGCGCGGCTGCGCGACACGTGTGAACGCGGCCTCGCGACGAGTTCCATGAATTTCGTATTTAACGACCATTTCTTTTAGTGTTGATTGTCGCGAAAAGCCGACGTCAAGTCGTCACAATAGTAACAGAATAGAGAGAGGAATATTATAACACATAAATGAGAAAGAGAATTAATTATTGATCATATTATGCGATTTTTCGTGCATGCAAAATTATCAATGCAGATTCGTTGACGAATGATAATAATACACTTTTCTTGTCTTTATAAACAAATTCTATGTGCCAATGGCACGTTGCTAATAAAATTAATTTGATAAAAGTCATGGAGATAAAGTCGGAAAATGTACTTAGATAGGACAACCTTAAATTTTGGAAAATGAATAATCTACGCGAGAATAAATAATATCCATGTATGATATTTAAATTAGCAATCTTCTTATGTACGGTTTCAGCAAGTATTACACGGCACGGATCGAAGTGTTTATCTGGCAACGGAAGCTTTGAGTTTCGTCCCGAACATACAGAGTATACCACGATAAAAACCGATGAAAATAAATAGAACAGTACGGTTATCTCCTAAGAAATTGTAAAGGTGTCACGCGACGTATCGCGTTACAGAAACTAAACCAAACATATTTTGTTTGCCCATTCCGTTCTGTTACTCGATTGCTTTCGTCGTTTAGACGGGCCACGAAAAACACTTGTTGCATTTTATCGGAAGTCCATTATATTAAATAATCAAATATCTGATCTCTTTAATTATTCGTTAATTTTTAGTGCTTTTTAGAATTAAAGTTTAAAAGACTTGTCACTTATCATCGCACAAATATAGAACGCATCATTATAGCGACAAAAAAAGAACCGAAGATAAGTACGCATTGGGATATTAAATATATTTATGCGCTGCTTGAGTATTATTATTCTCAAGTTACGTCATGTGTAATTTGGAACACTAGACAACACAAGCGCGGAAAAGGGACAACGACAATGCGAAACGATCAATTTCGACTCCGAACGCACACTTCTCGGTCTACATCTCCTTTTTTATAGAGGATTTATTTCGAGTTTAGCATGTACGTCTCCAGTTTTACTGTCCAAAATTTTTATATATCGTTGCGGTTAACAATTGCTTTATTATTAAAATATACATTTATTTAGCAGCACGATGTTTTATACTGCTTGAAGAACTTGTTGTATATGCCAACTAATCATTTTTAATTATTGTCTCGATCGGATTTTTGATTGTAATTTCTCTTTCGGTAAATAACTCGCGGCAAAGTGCGATTACGTCGCAATTTTATGAAATTTACATAAATAAGAGAAGATGATATTTGCGTATGTATAGTGTAAAAGTCACTACCGTACGTGTGCTGCGATCTCGATACTGCTCCTCTGTTTCCACAGTTCCGAGTCTAATTGTAAGACATTTCACATTTACATTTATTTTTATCAAAATATGGAACGAGATCATTATATCTCGATAATAACATTACGTTAATTTCTTCAAGAACAAATATTTAAAGTTACAAAAATATACTATTTTGTTTAACTACATTTTATTCAATTAAAATCCATAGCCATTTGAAAGCGGAAAAGAGTAAAAGAGACAAAAAGATTAAAAGCATTGTGCTAAATATTATCCTTTTATTCTTTATTAGAATTGTTAAAATGAAAAAAACACATGCCGTACCATTTGACGAGATTAATACGAAACTAATATTGAATAAGAAATCTTTTATTCTATTCCCCCCAGTCGGGCGCACTAAAGTTAAGTTAGAAATGACTTTAATCCTTTCGTGATTAAGTTTCTTTTTTTTCTACGTTTCTTGATGATATAATGTTTTTTCTTCGGTGAACATATGTTAATTAAGATCTTTTAAATTTTGTAAATGGAACTTACATGTTCCATTGATCACGAAGGGTTAATTTAGTCCTAAAACGCAAACGTGACAAATAAATTGACTCACCGGTCGCCGCATCTCCATCATCGTTCAGCGCGTCCAGATCTTGCATTGGTTCCGTGTATCCGGATATTACGCTACATTTCGCTATATCCATATGTAATATACGATAGTCGTTCGATATTTTTCCCGACATTTCCGACACGAATTACTTTATGTTTAGAACTTATTTTATTTATCTATATTGCGTGGCAATTGCAACTTCTTGTCAATTATTACATACTTTTAATTAATGCGTTTTAATTGATTTACGATCAGTGAAATTTTCGCGTAATCAACTTACGGAAAATTCATTGTGTTTCAAGTAATTGACTACGATCGCACGAAGCACACTCGGTGAAACTGTCGCGACATTGGATACATACAGAGGAAAATCGTCTATTATGAGGCTTCTAATATAAAATAGCTGGTGTTTACCATCACAAATGTTTATTCACAACAATTACACGATCTAACAATTTTCCACTAAACTTTAATGTAAAAAATTGCAAATACGACGCTTGGCTGGCAAATTCTAAGTAAAGAAATTTATTGCGAAAAATATTACATGTACTACCTCAGCCAGGGTTTGAACATAGACCTCCCTACACTCTAAGCGAGCGTCTAACCAACTCGACCACTGAGGCATGTGGTAATATTTCTTTAATTAGAATTTGCCAGCCAAGCGTCGTTTAGCAAATTTTCTACATTGTCGTGTTCTACAGCGTCGTTTAGCAATTTTTCCACATTGGTTAATCATATACTAGCGTCAAATAATTCTTTACGTTAAACAGATTTCACCTCAAGGGCAATAAATTCACGATGAAACCGAGAAATGATACCTATTAATATAGCACAAAAACCCTACTATATCATAGTAGAAGCTTATCTCATAATAGAGGACTTCCTCTAAGTGTCTCTAATCAAAATACCCGATACTTTTCTCGGCTATACCGATACTGCGTGTTTACTTTAACACGACGTTTCTAACAGGCGAGACTTGAAGTCAAATATGATACGGTCTTTACAAATCGGAGTACAAAGCAACGTAGCTTACGACAAAGACGTAGGCGTAAATGTAGATAACGCACAACCTTCGGTACAAAAGTAACGTCATACTCTCTAAAAATCAATTAGTGAATTATCACTGGAAACAATGAATAGCCACTGATTTGCAGTTATAAGTATACTACTGAAAATTGCAGGTATACGTATAACTGTAAATCAGTGGCTAGTAATCACGACTTCCAAGAGAAACTTTTAGTTCTCATTCCTATAGAAGAAAAAATAACTCTTCGACGTCCGCTTGACCGTGGCCCAAGTACAAAAACCAGAAATTGCGTAATATTAAGATACAACTTTGCGAAAGAGATCAGTCGATATGCCTATAATACAGGGTGCGGCGCCAAAATCCGGACAAAGCGAACAATTTCTTTGAACAAAAGTTTATGAATGAAAAGTTAAGTATTAGAAAAAATCCTTTTGCATGGCACTTGGGGGATCCCTATAGACCATAATTATTCAATATATCCGCCATTAGCTTGAATGTCGGCTTCTATTCTCATTGTCAGTCTGAAGCGTCCGCACGCACGCCGTAATGCAACGCTGTCCATGCCGGTGAATGCTGCCTCAATGGTAGTCCTTAATGACGTCACATTGGGATGCCGGGACTTGTTGGTAACCCTTTCAACTACGCTCCATACGTAGTAGTCCGAGGGATTCAAATCTGGGCTGTTAGGAGGCCAGAATTCTTTGGACCAAAACATATCGACATTGTCTGAGAGCCAGTTGAGCCAGCCTGAGAGTATCTGTCGTATCTTGAGTGTGTACGATTTGTATCGAAGATCCTCCTCGGCAATTCGACGCATTGTTGGCTCGCTTACACCCACAATCGACGCCAATTTTCGCAACGATTGCCCTGGGCCCTCCAAAATCAGCGCTTGAGCCCTTTCGACGACTGCGGGGATCCTTGCGGTGCGTTCTTTCGAGTGACTTTTCCTCGCCGGCATACTGGAACTATTGTTGGACTGTTCTGAAGCCGTACATTTTGTCACAACGTCATAAACGGTTGATCTCGGGTATCCAAAGAACCGAATTATTTCCATTGCTGAGCGCCCAGCGCGAAGCCCTTCGATGATCGCGGCTCTTCGATTATACTCCGCACTTGGTTTCAACATCGCAGCTATTTTGAGATTACGATTGTTTTCTAAAAGTATCAGGCTTTCGCAGACGCCAACAGCGATCTCTAACAGAGGCACAATAAGGCGAGAAATTTAAATCGAAATTTGTCCGGATTTTGGCGCCGCACCCTGTACATGTCTCGAGGATGTCTTTTAGATTTGTTTTCAAGACGTCTTAAATCATCTTTAAGACGTCTTATGTCCCGATTTTTTATGTCTTTTAGACTTGTCTTAAAGACGTCTTTAAAACGACATAATGTTCTCTGGGTGGAGGTAAGTATGACATACTAGTACGCGAAAGCTTGTGCGCTAGATTTACATTTACACTTACATTTTTGTCGGAAGCTATTACGTTGCTCTGTGCTTTGACCCCGATGCGAAATATATGTCAGACAGTTCGCAGTGTGTTACCGGTGTCTCGTAGACGTCGTAGATTGCCGTAGTTCGATTAATACGATCGACGCGTTGCAATTTCGAGTGAAACGTGGTTTAGTTCCGCGTTAAACATGGCTACTGAACTCTTCCTAGTGTTGCCAAATGACTAAAAGTTCCCAAATTCTTTCATGACTTTTCCCTTTGATCATAGGCTATATTTCCACAGAGGTCCAAAGTCAGGCTAGAGTTAGGTTAGTACTGAATTAGGGGAGCGCCCATGCCGTGAAAACACAAAAACCTGAATCCAATTTTGACCTGACTCTAATCCGACTTTGACTATAATAATACTTTGCGTATATTTATATCAATAATAAAGGAAAAAATTAATGTACAAGTTACGGATTTTGAAGATTTAACAGGGATTTAATAAAAGTCTTTTTAATCTCGCACACATGCGAGAATATGTAAAGAAGATAAAAATATAACCCACCCGAATTTTGACAAATGAGAAGAAATCAACTTATTTCGTACATCACGTTACTTGCACACCCCATCAAAGTGGCCAATATTGACCACTTACAGCGTCGTTGGACCAGATTGGACCTACCTTTCGTCGCTCCTGGCCATACAGTCTGGTCATTGTGACCAGAGATCAGGAAGGAAGAAAACCCCCTTCCATAGTCGGTTTATTATCGATACCGACAGATATTTCGTATCGAACGATATGCGAGTGTCGATTGTATCGAAATCTACGACCACGAGAAGTTAATTAAAAAAGAAAATTAATTTAAAAAATTTGCTGCATAAAACTAATTAAATATATTTTTACCTCCGTTATTTATTCAAGAATAGATAATGACGTCTCTTCGTGACTCAACCTCCAAATTCGAAATTCAAGTATATATGTATATAGAAAAAACAATTTACTTCGCGTTGTATTTATTTTAATTACGTTTCGCGATAAATTAAAATTTATAATATGGATGAAATTAAACAATTAATAACTTGTTGAAAATTTTCTGAAAAACTGATCGCGAAGACCGACCGCGAAAATACAAGGATACATGTAACTATGCATGTATTCATGCGAGACGCATCTGGAAAGTGTATTGCCAGATACACATACAGAATAAATGACGTGAGACCCAGAGAAAAGAAACTTTCCGTACGATAGATAGACCGACATTTAAATATTCTAGTCAATCAATAATCTCAAATAATGTGTAAAAATGATATAAAGTTTCAGCGTTCTCGACAAAATATTAGAATCTCACGTCATATTGTTTTACTTCATATATAAATTTGTTAATGAAAAATGGATAGACTACGAGAAATTAGCTCGACGAATACATCAATAATATTTGTCATATTTTGCGTGAAAATATGTGATGTGCTGCAACAAGGCACCAAACACTTTACAGTAAAAATCGCGATCACTTCCTTTCGACAGGTGAAATATATAAAAATAAATATGAAATTATGTGCACTCTATCCATTTTAAGGCAACGGAACTACGAGATATACTAATCTACGATCAACGATCTACAAGATGTAGATTCGTTGTTAACTAGCATTTATCGGTGATTTATTAATATCTCTTTCACACATTCCTACATAATAGTAAGTGATGATTTGAGTATATCAAAAAGCAAACAGTGCATGGAGAGAATTTCCATTGGAAATTTACCCTGAAAATCACGTGTAACCGCGGGACCACATCCGAAGAATTTTATGAGACTTTTCTTTTGTTCCGAGGCGGAAAGCCGTTTTTCCGCCCCCGCGGATTTGCAGGTATTTCGGCGGGGTTAATAATCCGTGGCTCGATAATAACGACGCCGAAGTCGGGGCCTCGGCAAAAATGCGGCCACCCTCCCCCCGGCTGCGAGCCTCGCGTCGGGACGACGATGTGGCATTAGTAAAAACGCGATATTGTCTGACTCAACAGGTTGTCGCCACCCCCGCGCCCGCAGCTGGCGGCGGCCGAGTGCCACCCCGCACGCGCCGCTAGCTTTGTATTAAATAAACCTGACGCTGAGGGTGATCTCTCTCCCTTTTGTCGGACTTGTCGGGCGGGGGAGAGTCATCCACGTATAGCCCATTAGTGACATTATTAAGTATCTAATTCGGTGTTTTTCCGCCGATCTCTCCCCGCCAAGCGGAATTCGGTGTTCCGTAGTGCGTTCTTCTCGCGATAGCTTCGTCGAAAAGACGTTCCCGATGTGAGTTATGTCAACGTGAACAAATCTTAATTAGAACGTTGCTGTGAAAGATTCACCAACGTCTGCTTCACCAACGCGGATTTACTTCCATCTCCATTTAAATTACCATTTATCTTTTTTTAATTTTTAAAACTAGAAAAAGGTATAAAGTAAGTTAAACCGTGAGCAAAGTTATTTGCGTTGGTAGAAACAAACATAAGACGCGAGTGGTGAAGAAATATCTGCGAGATAATTGATGGTTAAACGTCATTTACGTATATAACATTTTTTTGAGAGGTGTTTCTACTCGTGTAAGTGTTTAGATTAATGGAGCAGCCGAAAATGCGAAGTAAATACGCAAAGTGGTGAGTATTTGTTTGTAATAAATACTTTTATTATTATTTCGTTATAAGAAGGGTTGAAAAAGTTGAAAATAAAATAAGAAAAGAATAGAATTCAATTCTGTTTTAATTATATTATTATTTCACTGAAAATCACGTTTATTAGTATCGCGTTTTTTCTTTAAAAACTTTTACTTTATACTTGTTGATATAAATCGAAAACTATCGACACAATTCTCTCCGGTTAGTATCTTAATTACATAAGTATGAAAATTAAAAATTATTGGCTGAAGACCTCTCGGTCTTTTCAAGGGAAACCGTTCTTTGTGCTTTGGTCCGTTCTCGATCTCGCAAACACGAGAGCATCATCATTACGACAGGGACCCGCCCAGGGCCGTGCAAAAGGGAGTTGCGGCGGATGCACCGCACCAGGGTTAAGTGGCCCCGAAATTCGGTTAAGATATAACTATTTTTTATTATTTTCTAGCTACTACAAAGCGCGCTTCACGCGCAAATTTTTAATGCACCATTAACCGTTACATATTATTTACACTCCTAAAGAATTATTATCTTATATAATAAAAAATAATTTGGAAGAAATATTTCCAAATATAACATAGCTTTACAAATATATTTTACTTTACCTGTAACTGTGGCATCTGCTGAAAGAAGTTTCAGTAAGTTAAAATTGATAAAATCGTATTTACGATCTACAATGGTGCAAGAAAGAGTAAATGCTTGTGCAATATTATCAATTGGAAATGAAATAGTCAAAGATTGTAATTCTGATTCCTTAAGCAATAGTTGGGTTGAAAAAAAGTTTCTGATTTATTATAAAATCATAAAATTCTGTTTGTAGAGTTGTGTTAATGAATTATAAATTTTTATCTGTTCTATTTACCTTTTATGAAATTTAATTTATGTTTTGTACAATTTCATTATATTCTGCATTTCTTTTTAAATGTACTCATTTATAAATAAATATTATTTTAATTATATATATTGTTTTATTACCTTTTTCAATCCTCTTTAAACTTCTTTACTTAAAACACAAGATATTAACTTCATGGAAGAGCCCCATTTTTATCTTTGCACGGCTCTGGACCCGCCATATGCAATTCGCAGTCGGCCTGAGAGCTCGAAAATCCCAATCAGCTGCTCGCCAGATATTCGAAAGCAAACAAGGGATTCGCTCCGACAATAGAATTGTGCTCTTCTCGTCCGTGCTACACGCGCATGTGCTCGGCTGCACATGCGTGCATTTTCCCGAAGCGTTGTCTGCTCTGCATGTGAGACCGTGGAAATTTTAGAGTCTGGCTAGAATTTCGTGTCACATGTAATCGCGATGTTCGATTTGCACACAAAAAAAATTCGGATCTCTAGCGCGAAATTGATGTGAATCCATCGCTGACTCGACAGAGTCAGAAACGTTTTCGTGTTTTATTATTGTCTTCAATTTTAAGGGTGGTATTCATAGTCCGATTTTACATTTAAGCAGGGTTGAGAACGTTACTTTATAAATGCATTACTATTAAATATAATTATATTTGCCATTATTTTTAATAAAATAATTCTATAAGTTAATATATTTTGAATAAATTACACTAAAATAATTATTAAAAACTTCACGTTGTAATTTTGTTGTATTTATTTTAAATTTTGCAACATTAGTTGTAGAAATTAGAAAAATGTAACATTAAATATGCAATCAGATGCATATAATTGTAACTGAGTTAAGTTATAGTTACAGATGAAGAGAAAGTAACGGAGTTAAATTAGAGTTGCCCAGAAAAGGTAACTGTAACTTACAAGTAACGAGTTTACTTACCAACCCTGCATTTAAGATCGTCACAAGTACAACTTCGAGACACGCTGTACGGTCGTTTCATTAACTGCAATAGATGAAATCTTAAAATCGTCCATGGCTAGACTTAGGACGATCTTGAAAATTTATAAGTTCGGACTATGAATAGGAAAAGTTATTTGTTATACAGTTCAACTATGTTAGTTACGCAAGCATGTGAAAAAGAATCCTTGAACCACATCAAATCGAAGCAGTATAGACATAAAGAAGCCATAAACATAAAGAATTCTATATTACAACCTTCAACTTCTTTATTGCCCTAACAAATCTCAAAAACACGTGGAGAAAATATGTATTAACAACGAAACAATCTTTCTTGTTAAACGTATGTTTCCTCTAAAGCAAGAAATTTTTTATTCTTCCCTTTTATTCTCTTTATAGTTGTCTTTTAATATTTTGCATAAAAAATTTTCTAAACGAGTCTAAAACACATTGCTCTATGAGCTATTTTACGAGAATAAAGGTAATTTTTTCGAGAAATAACGAAATAATTTTTCTTTACCATGAAAGCGACTCTTTTTTTCAGTTTTTTTACAATTCCTG